AAAGTTAAATAAGTGTACCAACAACATAAATGGAAACTGTGGCAACTTAATATATAACTATTATACAGACATTGCTCTACTTCTGGGTTACAATATAATGGAGCCAAACAAACATCACCAGAACACCAAGTTGGAAGATTGACAGGTGACATTCTACTTACAGCCATTGGATATGGTTCTTGGATTTCTTGGTGATGAGCTGGATGCCCTCCAGGACATTTGTTATATCATAAATACGCCTCTTCTGCACCTTTAGTACTTCAGCAGCCCAGTTGAGATCCACAACACCATCAGGAGACTGACTCAATAGCTCTAAGAAGCGCTTGGTGGTCAAGTTGAGAGACGTTTCATAGCGGGATTTCTCTCCAGGAGACTTTAAACCTGGGGATGAATCAGGGCTTAATTACAACAGCTGCAATTCTTCTTAAATAAATCTCAAACTTAAACCATCAATTTGCTCAGCTTGCACTATTTATTTGACAAGAAAGCAAACACCGTTGTTGGAGATAGGCATCCTCTGGTTCAGAGTTTCATTCTCTCGGTCTCACCTAGCTTGAAAGCTGCAATGACTACCCTAGAAATAGAAAGAGAGGAATAAACACCACTCACCTTTCCCACACTGACCAAGTATGTTGCCAAGATACATTGTGGGGATATGAAAAATGGATTTTACTACCAAAGGAATTGAATCTGGTTAGACGTTTGGGATGGATTGTACATTGTAAACTGCCCAAAGTTTCCTTGAAGTGTGAGATGGGCAGCATATAAATTGATTGATTGACTGATTGATTCAATTGAATGAATGGCAATTGTGGATAATATAGCATCATTTGCCAAACTCAACTGTGAACTCAGATGAGACTTCCAACTTTAGCAATGAGTTAAAACAAATGCCTGTGTTTCAAGGAAATTAACCTTTAAAAAAAATGAAATCTCTGATTTTTAGGGTGCTAAATTCTGAAATCCCAAAAGCAACTTTGCACAATATACATGTCATTTCAGAAACAAAAGCCATTTCCCTCATGAATTCAAAAGCAAAGCAAGGCTGAAAAAGCATCAATACTCCAGTGTCCCAGTACTAGCAGTCATTTCCAAGATTTTACTGGACCAATGTGGCATTATGAAGCCACTAGGACAAGGATTCTTGAAGTAGCTGCAGAAATTAGGGTGCCAAAGTTCCCATCTATATACTAGTACCTTTTATAGGATTTTTTGCTTTTCCTCGAGCCACCTGAGCATGGTCTGCAATGTATTGATGGTCAGTCTCCAAATTCAATTTCCGTTTTACCTGGAAAATAAGCGAGATTTGTAAATAACCACACCACTTAAGCTCTAGTGAAACAAGTAGTAATCATGTAAAACTAGGAGCATATCTACACATCTTACTGTTATTGAATAAGGGTTGCCTTTAAATGTAAGGCCATTCAGAGTTGCCTGAACCGTGAGATGGGTGGCAAATAAATTTAATGAATAAATAAATAAAATTAATGATAGATAGATAGATAGATAGATAGATAGATAGATAGATAGATAGGGGAAAGAAAGAAAAAAAGAAAAAAGAAAGAAAGAAAGAGAAAGAAAGAAAGAAAGAAAGAAAGAAAGAGAAAGAAAGAAAGAAAGAAAGAAAGAAAGAAAATATGGGTTTGGGGAAAATTAATTATTACATTTAATTAGTTGAATAAACTGTTACATTTTAAACAAAAAAATTCCTCATTTTCTCAATACATTAAGGGCAAAAATTAGCAGCAGCTTTGGTTTTCCAGTTTTCACCTACAGGCAGCTCATCTTGCTTGCTGTTCTATCAGTTTCAGATTGAACCAGATGATAAAACTCTGACCAGAATCCCTACTCTGTTGCTCTAATGGTGGATTATAAACTTAGATGACTATCATAAAGATTGTCTATGAAGTTTTACTGATATTATCCAGTCACTTTAATAGCCTCTACAGAGCCAAGAGAGTGGGGGCCATTCCGGGGGTGTAGCTAGCACATTTGACATCCAGAGCAACTATTTCCACTCATAAATAGTACCATGAGGTTCTGGAACTTCTGCTGATTCTATCTCTGTGATTGCTGCCACATCACTGCCTGCTAAACAGCTGACCAGCACAATGGCAGCAGTGACCAATTCTATACCAGCTGCTGACCTTCTGGATAATCTCCTATCTTACATCCTCTCATTGTCTCTATCTGGGGCAAACCATTCCCACCATTTCATTTTAGCATGCCCTAGGATCATTCTCATCTTAAGGAAAAGGATGTTCCATAGGAAGCAATCTGCCACCAAGAACATCTACCATCAAACCACACTCTAGCACACTCTAGTTGGGGAATACACCTGGTAGACAGTCCTAGCCATCCAAGTCAGATATGCAGAATTTATAGAGCAAAGGCAAAGTCTTATTGTCTTAGGTGAGCAGGGTGGAAGGCATATCTGCTTGAAAGCAGCGGTCCCCACTCCTGAGGCCACACAAGCAGCAAGCGAGTGGGAGAAACTCCATTTGCACAAGCGGGGGGGGGATGAGTGCTCACGCGCAAAAGCTTCATTTGCACATAAAGAGCCTTTGCACACACATACACATGCACGCCACTTGCATGGAACCATCCCCTCTCCCCCTCACTGCCACTGCCCCCCACCAGTTCAGAAAGACTGGGGACCACTGCTTTAAAGGCAGTAATTAACATTTTGAATTTTACTTGGAAACAGACTGGCAATGAGCGCTGCAGGAATGTGACCAGACAGGAAGCAAGCGGGCCATTGCATGCTGGCTGATTTAAGTTTTTAGGTGATCTTAAAATGCAGCCCTATGTAGATCAAATTAATTGTAGATTAAAAGTAATTTGCAAATGATATGAGCATCACTGTTAGAATATTCAGTCTAAATGAGGAGATCCATTAATATAGAATGGAGAAAAGTAATTTAATTCTGGAAGAATTCCAGGATATTTTGCAAAAATGTAGAACTTTCTTTTAAGATTGTCCATTTCTATAAAAATGGATTCAAAAGAGGAGTCAAAAGAGAAATGACTCAGAATCAGGCTGCTTTGGATAGGGATTTAAAATTGACAGCATACAAGAATGACATTGCGAAGGATGTTATATAAAGGATTAAAAATGAAAGTGGTGATATTTTAGTAGCAAAAGAGACACACAAATAATAAATCAGAAGAGCGGCTTCTGTGTGGATTTCAATTCAGAAGAATGACTTGAATATTTTTTATTTTGAACTTACAAAAGAGATGTATTAAACCTATGGAGTTCTTGAGAAAAGATAAAGAGAGAATGAAAAGAAACCTTTTTCTGGGACACTATTTAAAAGGAATAAACTTTTTAAAATAACAAGATTTAAAAAGTAAGCTCATTCAACTAAGGTTAAAATTATATGATTTTTTTCTAGCAGCTTTTAGTGGGATCAGGACTGAATGAGGAAGCTTGAAAGATGTGATAAAGACAAGATAAAAATATGGAAAAAGATTTTTTTTCTTGTATTGTTAGAGAAAGTTATCAGCTATAGTATTAAAATTGTAAGAAAATGTTAAACCAGCAAAGGAGTTTCTAACAGGAGATGAAGAGAAGAGATTTAATTTGTGGGGCAATATTTAATGGGATTACATTTCAGTATGTTGATGTTTCTGGTAGTTCTTAATGAAATCTTTTCTGATTAACTTCGAATGATGAAGCTTTAAATATTTTATAGTTCCAAAACATGGGCAGAAAATATTTGTATTTCTAGAAAAAAGAATAAGTTATTGTACAAAGTAAATGAAAGGAATATGAAAATTGTTTAAGGTTAATATATATTAAAATTGCCAATATATACTTTACATATAAATTTAAATATATACATTTGCTAAGAGATAAAGGTAAGATATAGGATGAAGACATTCTAGGTCAGTGATGGTGAACCTTTCAGGCACCGAGTGCCCAAACTGCAAGGCACATGAATTCAAAAACACATGTGCAGCAGAGATCTGAAGACCAACTGGCCAGCAGGAGGCGGGACATCCCAACGCTGGCAGTTCTGTCAGAGGTGAGATCATTTTCTTTCATGAGCTTCTGTTTCATTGTTTGCAGGGAAACAGAAGCTCATGAAATAAATGCCACAGAGATCTAACCTGGGGCAACGGCACTCGTGCCCACAGAGAGGTCTCTGCGTGCCACCGGTGGCAC